TTAAAAAATGAGGGGGAAAAATATTCCTAAGGCTGTATTTTTTTTCCCACTCAAAAGTCTTTTGAGAAAAGAAATGTACATTATTATGGCTTTATTAAATATTAAAATGTCAGTGAGAAAACTGTTGCCAGATCTGAGTAACCCTACTCAAAAGTATGGCATCTCCCTTCATCTCCTGAACTTACTCCCAACAGCTGAGGCAGGCCTACAGGACCTGACCTCCACTCCTACTATGCAACCCCCCTCACTCTGCCCTGCCACACTGCCCCCACGGCTGTCCCTGAAACATGCCACACACGCTGGTGCTTTGCAGGGGGAGCATTCATACTAATTGTTCCTCTTGCCTGAATGTTTACTGCCCTGGAATTCTCCCCCTTGTGAAATCTTTCTAAATGTCCCCTTTCTGGCCACTCTACTGAAGAGCACACCCTCTTTACTTCCTCTTCTGTTTTACTTTTCTCCGTAACAGCTATGACAATCTAACATTCTACATTTTTTTATTTATTCATCTAGTGGCATTATATTTTTGTTTTATTCAGTTACAGCCCCACTATCTACAATATCTAGCAATAAAGTACATAGTACTTATGGAACACAGAATTCAGCAAACATACACACTTTACAATGTGTAGACAGAGCAATGCACATTCTGTTAACATTTGTTAAAGTCAATCAAAGTTCTTTTAATCTACAGCATTTTCTACTTCTTCAAATTTGAAGTCTCTCCAAGAGCTGAATTCTGTTCATCAGAAATAGCCAAGCTCCAAAGCTACTCTAAAAGGTATTTAAAATAAAGTGTCTTTTACCATTCCCAAATATTTCTGCAATTGCTTTGAAATGACAAGTCAATATATAAACAATGATTCTCCAGCACTATTTGTGTGCCCGGCACTGTGGTTGAAGAAAGCTTTTTCCTTGAAGAAACAAGGACTATCTTTCAGGGGGACTCTAATTCCTGACATAAACCAAAATACTGTCCACATTTGGGCTTAAAATAAATAGAAATAGAAAATGCCATGGAAACACAAGAAGCCTTAGGAAATGGCAAATATAACCCAGCGACTACAGACTAAAACTTTATTTTCTTGAGTTTTTTTTAATAAGCTAAAATAACTTTTACTTGTTCTTCAAATTTTTTTTTAATAAGATATTTTTGATTTTTCCACCTCCCCTCAACAGCACGGTTACAATGTTATTCAATGAGGCACTTCAGGGAGTTGTCTCACTGGTTATAAAACCTGCCTTGGTTACAAAACCTGGTCTTATCCTTTCCCACTGATGGCTGCCAGTAGGGAAAGGAGGCTTTTGAAACATGTTAAAAATTTCCCCTCCAATCAACAGAGGTGAAGCTCAGAACCTCATCCCCCCTGCTTTGAGAGAAATCTTCTACATCCGTGGATGTTTTGCTGCCCTTGTCTAGCTTGGATTAATACTTAGTCCACAGGCACACACCTGATCATCTACATTTCCCCTCTTACAGCACTAAACTATGTTTTCTACCTTTATCTTGCATCTACCTACCACTTCAGCATTTTATTAAAAATAAAAATAATAATAATAATAAAGGGAGAAATGTGGGATCAACATATAAATCAAGTATAAAAATCAAACAAATATTCATATTTGACCTGATTGTTTATAGTTCATAATGCGTGATCAAAACCGAAAGTTTCTGTGATGAATGTCCTTGTACTGTTCACCATGTAAGAATTTATTCACTATGTAAGAATTCGTTCGCCATGTTCGTTATGCTTCAGAAGATTGGAGACTGACGAGAATTAGGCTTGAGATGGATTAATGATTGTACATTGAGCATTGACCCCCCTATACTGAATTTTATTGTTGTTAACCATTTGATCAATAAATATGAGAGATGCCCTCTCAAAAAAAAAATAAATAAATAAATGTCATGAGGATGAAAAGTATAGCATAGGGAATACAGACAATAATATTGTAATAACTTTGTATGATGACAGATGGTAACTACATTTATTGTGATGAACATTTCATAATGTATACAAATGTCAAATCACTATGTTGTACACCTGAAACTAACATATTATATATCAACTATACTTCAATAAAAGGTTTTTAAAAAAAAAAAAAAAATTTCCCCTCCAGTGATGGGAGGTGGTTCTCTTTTGGCTACAGTATTCATTGTAATATTTAGCACTTACGTGATTGATTTTATTGTTACCTTCTGATTTAATGCAAGTGTCACATCGTCTTTTTGTATGACAGAAACTATGTCTGCACATAGAAAAAGTTCAAATATTGGTTGACAAATCAAAAGCTAATGTGTCATTTCAAATGTGGTATCAGAAGACAGATGATAAGAGAAAATTTAGGACACAGGATCTAGCATGGAAGGATTTACAAGACAGATTCATAGGTCTGATTGTTTCAAGAACTGTTTACAATGTGTCTGACTTTACAGATGCATTTCCTTAAAAACACAAATTATTTTTTGGGAATCACATTTCCTACTTAATTTCAAAAACCCCCATATTCAATTGGCACTGACCTGCCAATTACAATAGCTATTAACTTCTAGCTACTTGATTTGGGAAGAAATCGAGAAGCAAAATTCAGATGCTAAAGGATACCCCTATAAAGTGTGCAGACTTTAAACAATTATAGCAGGTTATAGGTTTTTCCTAAAATAATAACAACTTCAAATTAAAGGAATTACAGCAGTGAAATAAAAACTAATGCATTTACTTTCTTCTAGTGTTTTCCTCTATCCAGAATATCTAACTAAGAGACCATTTTTCAGACAGACAAATATCTCTTACACTAAATTTTAGGTTTCTAGCAGTGATGATTGTATTCAATGTAATTTTTAATAAAGTCTGTCTCCATCTAACTGGTCACAAAATAGTTCTGAGTGAAGCTTACTTATTATTAATGAATTTATGAAATTCAAACTACTTCACAGTAATTAAGGTACCTAATAAGCAGAAAAAATCCAGCTTTCTCATTCAGTTCTTTTCAGAAATCTAGAATAAGGATCCAATCTCAAGTGTTATTCCAAACTACAGAATAGCTAAAAAGCCTGACTTGAACTCTGGAAGCTGAGATGAAATGCTACAAATACAACAGCGAATAGTAATTTAAGAGTTGGCTTATGTCAAAAGGATTGCATTTCTCTACCCTGAGTTAACTCGACAATGTGAACTTTGAAATAAGATTTTTTTTTTTTTACCTTAGGCTTAAAACCATCAGATTCTACCCCTGATGCTAGTTCACTGAAGTTCGCACTAGTTTTTTAAAAACTGAAATCACCTGGTCACAAACCGAGAGGTCAAAAGCTTCCAAGACAAAATTCTACAGAGGTACTATACACTTCACTTCGTAATTTACTTCTCCAACGCCCTGGAAAAAAAAAAAAGCCACTACCCAGGTATTTATAGGACACTATTACTATTGCAGTAACACACAAAACCTTAACACCATTGACACTGTATCATTTACCCACCTGCCAACAAAAGCTTTTAAGGGTAAAATCTTTAGCAGGCTGATACTAGGCTCTACACTCAACTTTTGATTTAAAGAGTGTCAATTTACTGCAACATTGTTTAAATCCACTTTTAGGATGATTTTAACTGAGGCAAGAAATATGTGCTTCTATATTTTAGTATACATTTTACAAAGATGACAACATGAGCTCTAACCTATAGAACTTAAGAGTGAGACTAAACTGTGGCTACAAATAAATGGTGCAGGAAGTCAGAACATACTTCACACTGAGACTTTGAACTCAACATAATGCATTCTGGTTCTTAAGTTACAGATGTGGAAAGAAATGCCAACAATAATAAAAATAAATTTCCTTGTAAGCAGCTAAGATTCCTCAAAAGTGTTCAAACAAAAGACTCAGCTTTTTTCGTACAATCTTATGCTAGTTCAATACAAACACACACACACACACACACACACACACACGACTTGGAATGAAATTGACCTAGTCACTCCACCAAAATGCAACCACGCATCTGCCGAGTTCTTCTCAAGCTGATCCAAGGCAGACCACACTAAAAAGGAAAGACCCTGCATGCAGTAAGCACGTTATGTGAAATACTTGTTTCATATTAGTCCTCACGCCTTAAAAAAAGTTACATCTCATTATTAGCATTTTTACTAATCAAGGGATGTCAAGATAGACAAACGGAGACACAACCATCATGGACTTCAGGTAGCCTAGCTTCACAACCTTTAGTTATTGAGGTTGTTGGGAAATTGAGATGAGTTTAGATACCGGCAAAGTGCTTAGCACAGTTGTTTGGCTCGTAGTAAACACTCCATAGTCATTAAAAAGTATTTATTAACTATTACGGAAACACTTTCAAACACTATCTACAACTAACCACAAATTCTTTTGGGGACTCGACTTCTACGAACTGTGCAAAGAACTAATTAATAAAAAACACATTTCAAACTACCTACTTAGAAGACCAAAAAGGTACAATAACAAACTGCTTTCAAAAACTGCATTGGGAGTCAGGAATACAAATTCACAACCAAATAAAAAAGCTGATAAACTGGTTAGCATTCTCATTAGGACCAAAGCCAGCTAAATCAGGGACAGTTAAAGGTCAAAGGCTTCCAAGCCGGGAGGGATGTGCTCCACTTGCTCGGTCCCTGCCTCCCACAGGAACACGGGACTGAACCAAAGGCAGGCGCGGCTGAAGCGCCGGCGACGACACACCCGGTTAGGCAGCGCCCTAGGGGATTTCCTCCAGTAATAAAGACGCTCCTACCTTGGATCAAGATACTCACAGCCGACCCCGGATCTCAAGAGTCCCCGTCCCCCGCCCCCCAACCACAGAAAGGCCGCGCTCGGCCCCGAGACCTCCGCCCGCGTGCCCGCAGCCAAGAAGCGAGCCCGCGCGCGCGCGGTTCCCAAGGGGCCGCCTCCCCGCCCCTCCGCCTCCGCCCTGCAGGCCCTGGGTCCGAGAGGATGCCGCCCCGGGCCCCGCGCCCGCGGCCCGTGAGGATACTGAACACAGTCCGCTCCCAAGGCTCCAGCATGTAGAGCGCCGTGACCAGCAGGTACTGGTAGTAGAACCAGGACATTTGCTTCCAGGCCCGGGAGAGCGCCATCCCCGCCACGCGCTTCCCGCGTTGCAGCCGGACGTCTGTCCAGCCTCCGGATCGCCTCCTAGAGCCCCCGGCCTCCAGGCCCGCCCGCTCGCCACCCCGCGCCCATTGGCCCTCCGGCCCGGCGCGTTACCCGTGGGCACGCCCAGCCTCGCGCGCGCCCGAGCAGCTGGTCGCGAGCCCCGCCCCGCCAGCGCTCATTGGCTCGGCCTGCCTCACTTCGCACCGCCCCCTCTCCATTACCCTTCCCGGGTCGCGCCCACGCGAGCCGGAGAACTGTCCCCGCAAGAGCGCCCTGCCCCGCCCCGGCCCGGCCTGCTCGGCCGTTGGCTAGAGGGGTGTTAGTGGGCTGTGGGTTCTGCCAGTCCGGCCCAGAAAGGCTTGTCGAGGAAATATTTGTGAGATCTCTATGATGCCGTAGGCATCTTACTGGGCAGAGGGATTACAGAGGCGAACAGAAACGTATTAAGTCCTTTACTTCGTGCAGTTTACCATCTGCAGGCAAGACACATTAATCACTCGAATGCAAGTAAAGCTGTGATAGGTGCAGAGGTGGAGAATGAGATGCTCAGGAAGGGTGGTAGGCAAACGTCACCTACCTAGTCAAGGAGGTCAGGAAAGGGGTCTCTGAAGAAGTGATGTTCACATTGCCTCCTTCCTCCCTCCCCCACCCACATGCGCTAACGCGCGCGCGCACACACATAAATCAACATACCCCATGTACTCCTTAACCTAAGGACAAAAGGGAGATTACCACATATATGTCTATCTGCCCACTTCTTTTAGTGCTATAGGTACCACCCAAGTCAAGGCAAGGAGAAGGACGTTGATCGGTGAGTTCTGCACATGACAGTTCTGCACATGACAGGCTGATGATTCGTAGTGAAGATGCACTCTTAAATGTGCAGATTTTCCCACTGGCAAATGGGCAAGCAAAACTGCACTCTCCTTCAGGAATGAGGTGAATGCATGGCAGGTGAAATGACACAATTAAATGACCTTCTGTTTAAATGTTCAGAGTTTTCAAGGTTAAATATAGCCTACTGCTTAAACTTTAAAACTTTCATGGTTGATAACTTTTTATCCATTTAGAAATATCAAATGCTGATCATCAGCTAAACATTGGGGATGTAAAGCTAGATAGACTAAGATCTGACTTCATAAAGTACCCAGTCTACCAGGGAAGAGAGGCAAGTTAACTGATTGCAGTGAGATGTGGTATTTTCATATATTGTGTAGGATGCCACAGTAGTCCAGAGAAAATCAGACGTGATTTTAAACAGCTTCTGGGAAATGGTGCTTGAGCTGAGTATTGAAGGAAAAGTAGAAACAGGGATTGGGGAGGAGAGGGTGGAACAGATAGTCCAAGAACAGGAGCATGGAACCCCTGTATGAAGGTCTGATACTTTTAAAGGGCTGAAAGAACTTCCACATGGCTGAAGCATGTGTTGGCAGTAGCAAGTGATGGGGCTGGAGAGTCAACAGGAGAAAATCCTGAAGGACCTTCATGAGGAGCTAAGGAATTTTCAACTTGATGACCAGAAGGTAAAAGAGCCAATGGCTTAATAAGATTTGCTTTTTGGAGAAGACTCGGATGTAGGCAGTAGCCTGGAAGAAAAGAGTATCTGGTTGGACATATTACAGAGGTCAAACCCGTAAATGGGACAGTATAACCCACATGCACTCAGGCCTTCTTGCCCATGAGAGATACAAGTATGCTTGGACCTCCCATTTCTGAATCTCACTGTGTTGGAGTTCTCTCTGACCCTATTCCTCCCTCAGATCCTTCTTACAAGATCTTTGCAGTCACAGACAAGCCCTGTTCCCTTTTCTTCAAGAACTCCAAATACCTCACTATGTGGTGATGTTCAATTGAGTTTACCCAAGATTGGAAGCATCACCCATAGCTATCCTTCCCTCACCAAGTCAGCTCCCTAAGGGCCATTCCTACCACATGGCCCCCCACCCCCCACTGGTATCTTCCCTACCATGTAGCCCCACAACCCACTGCTTCTCTCCCCGCGAGCAGCCCTACCAAGCCAGTCTGCATCCCTCAATTGTCCTGGGATTCTAATGAATAAAAACTCCTCCACCTTGCTACAGTTGATGACTGACTAGAAATGGGGGGAAAAGTCTAGGATCCTGGATAATGACAATATCCACAAAGAATGCATGGGCAAAATTTTGGCTGAAAAGATATGAATTCTGTTAGGATGAGGCTGAGGCTGAGGTATCTAAGGAACATTCAAGTGGAGGTATCCATGGAGCAGCAGGGCATATGAGTCTAGAACTCAGAAGAGAAGCCTGAACAGGAGTCAGAGGCATATGAATGTTCAATAAGCCCCTGGTAATTGCAGCCATGATCCCAGATGAGGTCCCGTGGGAAAGCACCTAGAGTGGGGAGAGCAGAGTACAGAACAAACCCAGAGACTTGGGCATTTACAGGCTGAGAGTCCAAAGGGAGCCAATAAAGGGCTCGCAGGAGGAGCTAACTGAAATGTGATAGCAACAGGAGAGACATGGGGGAGAAACCAAGGGTCAAATGGCTCAGGGAGGACAAGCAATAGGAGGAAGGCAATTGCTAATTTGTTTTATCCACACGGAGCCCAGTTGATGACTCATTCATTGTGGACAGAAACCCAATTAGAGAAGGAGCAGGAGGTAAGAAAAGAAGAAAGCTAATCAGACTTATCTTTGCATGAAGCTTGCTTGTGAAAGGAAAGAGAGAAAGGAGGTAACAAGGGTTTGATTTTCAGATGGGAAAGATGTGAGCAAGTTTATGAGCTTTGAGTGAAGATACAGATGAAGATGGTGGGATGAGGGATCAGGCCTAAAGCTTTAATAAACAGGGACTAACAGCTCTCTTCCTAAGAGGGGAAGAAGGGAAAGCTGCGAGTCAGGTGGACATCAACCCAGAAGAGGAAGTTAAAGAACTTCCTACTGTACAGCCTCAGTTTTCTTAGTCTAAAATGGCCTTTCTAAAAAGACAAGTATCCAATGATTTCCCTCATTTGTGGAGTATAACAACGAAGCAAAACTGAAGGAACAAAACTACAGCAGACTCACAGACTCCAAGAAGGGACTAGTGGTTACCAAAGGGGAGGGGTGGGGGAAGGTGGGTGGGGAGGGAGGGAGAAGGGGATTGACGGGTACTATGATTGCTGCACGTAGTGTTGGGAATCACGGGGAAAGCAGTGTAGCACAGAGAAAACAAGTAGTGACTCTGTGGCATCTTACTACACTGATGGGCAGTGACTGCAATGAGGTATGAGGGGAACTCGATAATAAGTGAATGTAGTAACCATTATGGGGAGTGAATGTAGTAACCACAATGTTTTTCATATGAAACCTTCATAAGAGTGTATGTATATCAATGATACCTTAATAATAAATAAATAAATAAAATGGCCTTTCTAAAGCAAGGTCTTTTGTTGAGAGCAAGCAAAATGTTGAGATGAGGGGTTTGAAAGGAAAAAGGTTAAGAGGAGAAGCTCCCTGAAGCCACTTACTAATTGTCAAGCAGAAAACTCATATAATTTTCCCAGCAATCCACAAAGACCCATATGTAGTACTGGAGAGGATGCATTAGGAGACTTGCTCCAGGGTGGAGTCTTGCTGGCAGAGTACAAGGGAGAAACAAGGAAGCAAGAAGGCTGGTGGGGAGAGAACAACCCCACTAATGGCTGTAAGAAGTGAATCAGAGACAATAAGTGTAAACAAGGGAAAATGGAATAATCAAGAGCTGTGTGAGTTAGAAACCACAGAAATAGATGAATGAGTGGGGAAGCTTCTATCCTTAAAAATGATAACCACAGATGTGCTCCTGAAGTTTAAGGTTACAGACTGAGCCAATCCTAGACAACCACAGGCACAGGTTGTGACCATGTGGGGGGCAGCCAAAGCCAGGCAGAGGGAAGGTACCAGGACATCAGTGGTGGTGGTGTGCGCCAGGCCGTCCATGTGAAAGCTGGAGTCATCCAGGATGATGGCAGGACTGAGGTGGAGAGAAGTCTGCAGACCAATGTCAGAGTCTTCAGGGAGCACAGAGAAAAGCTCTGGAGATAAGAGGAATGGAGAGGGGCAAAAAGAGAGCAGGGGAGCAAGGGGGTTAGGAGGCAGTAATGAGGAGCAAGAAGGCCAACCCCTCCCACCCCACTGCCTGGTGGGAGGCCTAGGTGATTCCTCAGGAGGGGAAGGAGGTAGAGTGCACACACACAGAGGTCAACAATAGAGGAGACCATTTATATGGGGAAGGAGAGTCTGGCAGAAGATAGGGTTGGCAGAAAGAGCTCAGTGTAGAGATGGTCTGGAGGAAGGAAAACACCAGGGTAGATGAATGTGGGATGTTGGTACCTTGGATAGGTAGTGTTGCTGGCAAAAAAAATCCAGGCTGACCTCTGGGCCTGGCTTACAGGAGCCTCAGTATGTATACTGACTGGCTCCGAGAGCTATCAGGGGCCACGGAGCAACCACTGCCTGGTGCCCAATCAGTGAGCCAGGACCTTTGCTCATTCTGGGCTCATCTCTCAGTCACATCTTAGTAAGAAGTAATTTTGTGCCTCAGCAAAGCTCAGCCCTTGGGTAACAGGTCATGCAGCCGATAGAAGTAACCTGTAACCCAAGCAGACCACCCAACCACAGGCTCCAGCCCAGAGCAGAAAGGGGGAGTAGGAAAGCTTGTCAGCCCAGGGCTTCCAGCTTCTGAAAAATGGAGTAGTGGATAAAAGCTATTGACACAATTAGGTCTGAGCCGGGTGTGAGAGAAAACGACGCACACTGCAGCATCTTTACAAGAAACACATACCTGCACAACCATGTAGCAACATTTATAAATAAGATCCGTGCCCGGCTGATGTATAACAATAACTTAATTCAGCTAGCATGTATTAAGTATCCAGTTACTATATATTTTTTAGATTTGTGTGAAGCTTAATGGCTCTTAGTTGAGTATGAGAAATAAACACTTGTATTTGCAAATTTGTGTATGTGTTTTATTCCACGAGAACATTTGCCAAATACCTAGCAGCTCCTCTGCCGGTGCAGTTTCAGAGCTTCACCTCTGAACTGCCAACGTCTCTCCAATTCTCTCTCTCCCTCTCTCTGCTCTTGGGGT